AACAGAAAATGGTCAAACTTCTAACGTTGCTTTAACATGTTTTGAGGGCAGTGCTGATGAATGTTTATTTATTTGTTTATTTGTATTTCATTTATCTGCAGCTAATTCTAATTTTTTTAGCATTTATCTTATATTTTCACTCTTGTAAAGTACATGCAGCTTTGCTAAACTCTACACACAATTCTGTGTAACTGAGACATTTCTGTGAGTGTGATTTGACAGTACAGTAGTAGTGTTAGCTACTAAGTAAACATAGCTAGCAAGTCCGTGGCTAATCAGTCAATTTGGCCAATTTAGGCTTGTATTTTAATAGCAGCAAACAATGAACAAAGAAAGACAATTAACTTGATAATCGCAACATGACAGCCTAATTCCATTTATTTTTCTTCAGTAAAGTTACATTAATAACTAAATTACAACCTTGTCCACTCAGATTTTGGCTAGAACGACTCCTCTTGCATGCAGTGCTCTATTTTTACTTCTGTGCCAGCTTACACAGATTTAAAAAGCTTACATTAGGTAACCAGCAATGGTGTCTAGTGGGAAAAGCAAATCTACTGGTCAGAAATGGGAAAAAAAAATAAAAATAAAAATAAAGATTTGCATGGATTTAAGGACAAATTATAACTATGTGATGGGTCATATGAAGCTGTCAGTAGTTTGCTACATGAAATACTGTATTTCAGTATTTCGGGCTTTAAGATAACTGTTCTCTTTTTGGAACAAAAAAAAAAATAGTCTAATCTGACGTTCATATCTTTACCTATACCTGTGTGTTACAGTAAGGAAAAGAGCATCCAAGCACAGAGAAGCAGGCAGTTTGCTCTTCAGTTAAAGTGACTGCGGTTGAATTTGAAATAGCCTCCCATTCAGTATACTTCACTATATAGAGTGGCAAAGCTATTAACTCATATACTGGATGCAGTGCACTACAGAGGGAGTAGAGAAGCATTTGAGATTCAAAAGCTACTAGAGTACACTGGAAAACTGCAATTAGAGGGACTGAAAAGCCACATTAGCCTAATTTGGACTAATTTGGACCCAAAACTACTCCACTTTGCTTTAACAGTAATCTAACATCCCTGGCTCTGGGCAGGATTGATGAAGACAATATTACAGTATCACAGTATTAGATGATTGAATTTGCATGTACTCCATGCTAAAGAAAAAAAAATATTCTGAACATAATACAAAACTGTCAAATTTAACATTAACACTTTATTTCTATTTCAAAGAACCATCTTGGTAGTTAATTAAGGTACAGTTTTTGATCAGTGGTCAAATTACATCCATCTAAACGCTCTACTAACTACGCTTTAAGTTTTATTCATTATTACCTGTATTAGAACATAACTGAAGGTCTGTTACATGAAAATTACTAATTCAATAATTAGTCATAATAACTCACAATAGACACGTTGTTGAGGCCTTGTTAGGAGTATATATAATCATCTAAATTCACATATAAGTGTATAATTAACAGCATTTGATTCCTATCATCTCTAGGTAGTGCCATGTTTATTGCTTCTTGAGTTTTATCAACAGAGCTAATAAAAGTTTAATAATTCATGTTACCTCAAGATGTGTTTCACACTGAAGTGCAGTTTACATCATTGCTAATTATATGTTACAAAGCACAAAATACATTCTCAGTGCAATTTCAGTATCAATTTGGATCCAATATCCTAAAAAGACTGTTACAGCTTTGCTACCCGAAAAAAGGGAAAAGGGTGAATAACTTATATATATATATTTTATACAGAATTTATATGCCTTTTATACATGCACCATTTGTCAAAAAATTGATTGTCAAAAAACATTGTAATTTCATAATGACATAAATGCAGGACTATATAGAAATATTTATACCTATCATTCAATTCTAAAACATAAAACATTCATTTTCCACACATTGGGCTAACCTATCAAATTTATGAACTGTAATCATGAGTTTTTATTAATATAGGCCTATATTCATCATAAAATGACCGATTAGCTTTGATTAGCATGAATAAGTACTGAACTTGTGATTCAAACTGATCTACTGAAAATGTGCTTAGCACATTTTTGCTTATTATCAGTTATGACTAAAACTGCACTTAATAATATGGAACACATACATATACACACACACACACACATACATATATATATATATATATACATATATATATATATATATACACATATATATATATACACATATATAAATATATATATATACACATATATAAATATATATATATATATATATATATATATATATATATATAGATCCTTTGCTGTTAATAATTGATCAAAAAAATATATATATAGTTTGGCACTTGGCAGAACAAGGATGAGGGAGCTTGAAAAGACCTTAAAATGTACAAACAAAGATCAGAACTGTCCAAGCTATGGTCTTCTCTGGTTCTTTGTGGGTGTGAAAGCTGGACAATTAAAAAGCAGGAAAGGAAAAACACTGATGTCTTTGATCTTTGGGGGAAAGAAAAACAAACAGATTCTTAACCAAATCAAGCCTCACCTTACATTCGAAAGCCAGATAATCAAACTGAAGCTCTCTTATTTTGAACACATTATGAGAAGAACTAATTCTTTGGAAAAGACAGTTATGCTTAGAACAGTTAAAGGAAAAGGAGAAAGAGCACGACCAGCTACCAGATGGATAGTCAAAGCCTTAAGATCCAAACAGAATACAGGATACTGTGGAGAATCCATATGGTTGCAAGGAGTCGGTACTGACTAGACAGCACTTACGAGTATTAATAACCTGGGAAGACCTGGCTCACAAGTGCACTCCATTGCTGTGCAAGCAGAGGCACCCTTTTAACTGACACGACTCAAGAAGGCTTAACAATACATGATCAGTTGAATCAGGAGGCCTCGTCTGTTGCTGTTACATGTTAAATGGAGAAATATATTTTATTCCAAAACTCTTGGCTGTGATTAGAGGAACAACTATAGAGCTTGACTCGACCTGACATGATATTGGGTGGATATCGAGATCCACAGTGCTTGCATGTTTATTCATCAAACCACTGCTACATGAATCAGACAGCTGTCTATCAAATCCCTCATGAGTAAAACCTGACATGTTATGGCTAAAGCCCCGGAAACACTGAACAGTTTTGAAAAAGTACAAAGGCCAGTGGCCTCAACAGAGAAAACTGAACAGTCAAAAAGCAACCGAGAGTTCAGTTACTGCAACAGGCTTCTTCAGCCAACATGTTTAAACTAAAGCTAAACACTTAAGGACACTGTGATGTGGAAGAGATGTCTATGCAAATAAACACTGAATAAAAATAACTTTTCATAGTGTCTAAATTCGTGGCACTATTTGCGTATTGGGCCTGTTCCAATTTGTAAAACCTCACAAAACTGAACATTGTGATGTCATGTGCAATAAAAATTGTCTTCAAGTATCGTGATTTATGCCATATTCACAACCACTAACACCAACCACTATAGGTGACAGAACAAGGAATACATACACATCACCAGGAACCTCCGACCATCTCTTCAGTCATTAATGTGTCTATCATTGCTCTGACATTCTAAAATGTATGTAGTGATAGCAGTCCAACCATCTCTCCAAACAAAATGATCAAAGCTGGTACGGTACATGTTTAAGCATCAGAAAAACTCAAATTGTGTAGCCCTACTTTGATCTTCTTATTTGGTTTGAGAGCTAAAAACTTCAACCGTCTAACCAACCACTGAAGATGATGCAACATGCGGAAACAGAAACCTCCAACCATCTGTGTGGATACGTGTGTGCATCATTATGTTGATCTAGGGATGCATCGATATTGGAATAATGGGCTGATGCTGAAATCCAATTTTTTTTTAGGTACATTTCTGTCAATGATGATATATTATTATATTAAATTGGATCTACATCTACCTGCATTATCATTATAGAGAAATGCTACATTCTTCTTCTTTTTCTTCTTCTTCGTATTATTATTAAGCAAACATCTGTCAGCATCCCCTTGACTCAATATTGAGTCCATGACACAACATTATTGTCCATCCCTTCTTTGATCATCATTAATGAGAACCATTAATGAGAACCATTGCTTTGAACATCTCCAATGGTAGGAGTAACATAGTAGAAAGCTCCAACCATCCAAGGTGATCATATCAGGTACAAACATTAAGCGTCAGAAAAACCCATTAAGTAGTGAGTTTTCCTGATTTTATCTGTTTAAACTGTTGGAGAGATGGTCCAGCTTCCTGCTGCCTGTTTCACTGCTTAATTCATTCATCTTCTAAGAGACAGAGAACTCAAGCTGTCTCTCCTACCAATATCTAGATTTCAAAAGCACGTTTCGGTCTCAAAACATCAAAATATGTACACTTGTGTGAAATGGATGGGGGGCAACCACAGAGACCTCCGACTAGCCTCTCCAAAGATTTAAAATATCAGTGATCAAAGCATGCACACACACGTCCAAACATCAGTCCAACCCTTTACACTGCTTTGATCTTGAACGTTGGAGAGACTGTCCTTCCACCACTGAAGACGAAGGAGGGAAGCAGCGATAAATACACGTCATCAGAAATAGAAACCTCCAACCATCATTTCTCCTCCATTAACATGAGCACCACTTGTGTCTTGTATGGTCAGGAGAGACAGAGACCTCCGCCTGCTTCTTCAACCACCGGAGAAAGAAGCACGTTTAGACATAATAATCTATAAACTCCCTCCAAGATCCGAGAGGACTGGACTGGACACGTTAACGTTACTGGAGCTCACTCCTGTTGCGCGCCGTGTAGTGGACACAGTCACACCACAGTCCTTTTTAGAGAAGACCGCCGAGGACACTCCGGTTAAACCGGGCCGGTTCTGACACCCCGCGGCCCGGCCATGTGGAGGAGGAGACGAAGCTGCAGGAACGAACCGGAGGAACTGGAGCCGGTAACGGCTTGACACACCGCGGTGCTTAAGTCACAACCGAACACAGACACACGCACACCACAGCTCAGCCTCCACTTACCGAACACACACGCGCAGCAGCAGCGAGTCCTTCAAAAGATAAAAATCCCGAAATCAATCCCGAATCCTCCGGTTCCTCCGGTTCCCCCGCGCCGTGTCCGTCTCCCTCTCCGGTAATTCTGACACACCGCCTGTGCTTCCGCACGGACCGATTAGAGCGGCGCACCGCAGCTCCGCCCCCAATGAGTTAAAACCGAGAGGATTTAAATGAAGCACCGCTCTTTAAAAAGCATTATAATACAGGATTATGAAGGATTATAGTGTTTATTAGCTTTATACATAATAAAGGATTATAAAGCATTTAATACAGGATTTAAATAAAGCCTTTCAAACAATTACAGCTTTCATGAGCTCTCACTGAAATACCTTAAAATCCTCAAACCTCATTAATCCACACTCAAGGTCACAAATGAGCAGATAAAGATCTGTAGTTTGGTGTAAAATGCTCCGTTCTAGAGAAACTTGACGAGTCAGAATCGTTCACAGACATCTGAAGAGTTTAATGCCTCTAACAGCTCCCTCACACAAAGGTATCACATGAAATGATAAACATGTTGCCTGAAACTACTGTAAAGAAAACTGATTCTGAGTGCTAAAAATCAGTCTGTATGACTTTGGTGACGGAATTATGCAGAAATGTCAAGATAATGATAGAATTAACCTTTAATAACAACAATAACATTCATAACATTAATATCGAAACACATAACATGCACTCAAGATTACAACAAATAACAAGAACAATTACTCCATGTCAGTGGTCCTCAAACAAAAGGTATAAATACATTAATAATTCTTGTGGCAGCAATAAGTATACTAAGCCTAAGTATGGCATCAAAAAAACGAGCTAAATTATGCTGAATTCTTTTAACACTCAATGTTTCCACATGCTAAGATTGAGTTCAGGATTAATGTTTTGAATTTAGCAGCAGAATGAACTGCTTTAATCCCGATAAAGAGTTCCATGTGCTCCTGCAAGAGCATTTCTGCTGGACGGATGGTGCAGTTTTACTGAGTGAAGGGGTGTGTGTTCACTGCAAAATCTGCAGGGCAGATGGAAAGAGATCCGATATGCCTGAGAATGCATTAAGGATAGATGTATTCATTCTCTCTCTCTCTCTCACACACACACACACACACTCTGAAGCATGTTTGAAGGATACACTAAAGCTCTGGTGTTGGTCTCTGTGGGAGGCAGCTGGTCGAGAGACTCCAACAAACTGTGTACTCTCATGTTCAACTGCTCAGACAGAGAGAACGCACTACACTGAGAGAGAAACAAAGAGAGAGAGAGAGAGAGAGAGAGAGAGAGAGAGAGAGAGAGAGAGGGGATTATTAATCATCTCACTATTAGTATTGAGCATTTTTGGCATTAATTTGTCAATAGCTGTTAATCACAATTCGTGCCAATAAAGCCACTTGAATCATCAGAGAGAGAGAGAGAGAGAGAAAGAGAGAGAGAGAGGGGGGGAGAGAAAAACGAGAGAGAAAAAATGGGGGGGGGGCAGACTTTGTTTTATTGACGTTTTCGTTTCTGTCACTGCTGAAACTAAATGGGGCCACAAAAGGACAGCGAGAGAGAGAGAGAGAGAGAGAGAGTGAGAGGGAGGAAGAGAGAGAGAGAGAGAGAGGGAGGAAGAGAGAGAGAGAGAGAGAGCGAGAGGGAGGAAGAGAGAGAGAGCGAGAGAGAGGGAGGAAGAGAGAGAGCGAGAGAGAGATGCTTTATTGTTTTTAATGCGGTTGGAAGCGATTTACTTTGAAGTCTGAATTAGGAGCTGTTGCCTTTGTGCCTGTGTATGAATAGTAAATTAAACAGAGACAGAATGGGGAGAGAGAGATGGAAGGAGGGCAAAAAGAAATCAGTGTGAAACAACAAGAGAAAAATGAGCAAAGTATTCTTCTCAGTTTATTAAATTCATACATTTTTATTATTAATGCTTTTTTGTATGTTTTATTGTAATGTCAACATATATACTAATATGATATGTTACAGTGTTTTTCAATCACACATGGGCTGTTTACACCTTGCACTAACATGTTTCATGTCTGGATTGTATCTGGATATACAATATGGATATATACTGAATATGCCACCATTTTCTTTTCACTTTTGTTTACCAACCTTCTTGTTCTAGTACAGTACTTTGGAAGGCGATGCATAGGTTATTGTTTAGTTAAGTCTCTTTTTTAATGTTTGTCTGTTATTTTAAAACACTGACTAGTGGATTATCATCAAAATAAGATTACTGCATCACTGTTTGTTTAAGCAAGTTCTTTCCTGTTTTTTCTTTCTAACTGGAAGCTCACATTCTTTAGATTAATCTTGTTCAGGGTCACTCGCTGCTAAGCTAACAATAAACAGTGCTAACAAACATGTCCTGCCTTCACACCTGCTCCACTGTTACAGTGTATTAACGTGTGTGTTACCTCAGTAAGCAGTAGTTTCAGAGTGTGTACTGTGTTCTCTCTCAGCTCCTTCACTCCTCTCTTCTCTGCAGCCACACACACACAAGCAACATCAGAGTCCCACTGTGTTACCCCTCCAGACCAGTGGACCAGCTACAGCCAAACACACACACACACACAACATATTACTTTACTTGTAAGCCCTTGAACAAAGTACAAAATTCTGGATTCAAGATGCTGGTACTGTTTTTATTAAAGTAAAATGCAGACACCACATAAGCAAGCCTATTAAAAGATTTAGACGTTTTAGACTGACACAAAAAATGGCTAATCCTGCTATTTTACCTGCTGTTTTCCTTTAATAACAGGATTTATGAACGCTGTTGTGTTTATTTGAAAAATGTGATCTAACAAAAAAACTACTGAAAGTAGCTGAAAATTCTAAGATTTAATTAGTTTGTGTCAGAAAACACCATTTTGACCAGGAAAATAGGAATAGGAATTGTGCTTTATCATTACTCTGATTAAACAAATCAATGTTAAAGGTTTACCAATCTGAACTTTGCACTAAACGAGCTCACACGCTCACCCCAAAAAATGGAAGCACCGTACATATTTGATCTACTGAACACTGCACTAAGAAAGCTTCAGCTCTACACACTGAAACTGATAAAATAATGTTACTGTTGCCAACAGGAATGTACATGTGGTGTAACTTCTCTGGCTAATGATTTAAACGAGCAGCTTTCCCTTGTTTTTGCCCTGTACAGAGTTCATTGTGTTTGTGTGGTAAGCAATAGTATGGAACCAATTTTCATAATCAATTTTAATATTAGAAAACCAATTTGGTTGCAGCCAAGTGTATAAAATGACCCTACAATGTTAGTCCTATACAATGTCATAGGTTTAAAAATAATTAGTATAAAGCTGTAAATAAAAATGATGTGAACAGAGCTGTAGATGATTCTAAAATGACTGAAAAAGCTTAGAGAGTTAAATTATAATAAATATAAAATCCAGATTTCTGGATATTTAGGAAAAAAAATCAGAAATCAGAAATACAGCAAACACAAAACATAACGCGGCCGTCGTTCTGTCTTATTTAACCCTATTAAATCGAGTGTCTCACTGTCCATCCATTCTAAAAATCTGGCAATGGCTCTTTAAACTTGTTTAAATATCCCGAAAACTCTTTTCAGAGTTACAGTAAATCCATGATGCACATGATAAAATTGATCAGCAGGTAGAATCTGAGCCTTCTGTGTGCAGCTGTGTTTCTATCACTGTATAAAAGATACACAAAGCTGCGTTTATTGTTGGACGTAATGTGATTTTTTTCCTGTGCAAATGTGAGCTCAATCAGAATGCAATTCAAATCAGGGCTGGTTTTCCCAAAAGCATCTTAACACAAGGATGATTCTTCAATGTTGCAGCAGGCATCACACTGAACACTATCAATTAAGATGGTCTCAATACCAAGATGCTTTTGGGAAACTGGGCCCAGATCGAAAAAGTTAGGTTGTGAATCAAACAAAACAAAAATCTAAGAATTTCTGACTTTGTTAGAGCATGCTTTTTAAATATCAAACAAATCTAACAACCTCGTTGAGAAATCGCATGATTTATGGACAAGACCAGATTAAACAGCAGAAGTAGCCACGTTTTTGCATTGGCCTTCAAAGGTTAAATCAACCTCAGTACAATTTCCAATGTTATTGAATAAATGTTCATTTATTCACGTTGTCTTCAGGTCTCTGCCTCTTTCTGATTTGCTGCATTAACCTAATGCTGACCTCACAGGCAGCCTGAGAAAAGGAATGAGTGATGGTAAACTACTGTGTGTGTGTGTGTGTGTGTGCATGCGATGCTGTGAATGAATGAGGGATGAATCTTCTCCTCCTCCTGTCACACTGCAGAGTCTCTCTGTCCTGACAGCACTGTGAATTAATCATCAGCCTGCTGCAGGGAACACACACACACACACCACAGTCTGAAGTGTGAGTAAGTGAGAGTAACAGAAGAAAGACAGAGAGACAAGTAGATAGTGTGCATGTTAAAGAGAGAAGGGTAGGAGACTATGGGCCTGATGTACTGATGTACACAGTTTATGGGCCATGTGCACTGAAACATGCAAAATATGTTTCTTCCCCTCATACATATCGATTTGAGCGAGGACTGCACAGACAATGTGTGGAGATATTACATAGTGGACATATTCCAATCCACACGTATAAGTAACTGGTTTTGCCTGAAATTTTCTGCACCACTTAAAAGCCAGGTGTGTATAAGCAGTACAGTCTGTTAGTAGACTTCCATTTACAATGGCAGAGGACACTGAAGCTACAAAAGTTGTCCTCACTGTATTTTCTAAAGAAGCCACACATTGATGAGAGAATCAACAGCCACAGCACATTTACATGAGAACTAAGGCATTAAAAGACACACACACGTAACTAATAAATATATCAATTTAAAAAATATATAAATTTTCTTGTGCTCAAATACTCTAGCAAGTGTTAGTATGGAACTTATAATGCAACACACAAAGCAGTTTTATAGACATATGGGTTCCTCTCATTATCCAGAAGGGCTAATAGCTTTTTAAGCCTAAGGCCCATAAATGTATAATGTATAGAAGAAAATGGTTCTGAAGACTGTCAGTCATCACCAAAACTAGGGGTAAAATATACGGCTGAAATGAACAAGGCCAGATAGGAATGTGCTCAACATCAAAGACAGCAGGAATGAACACTAACTACATTATGTTACTACATTAATGTTAATGCTGATGTTCACAACCAGTAAATCACTTAAACGATTAAGATTTTCTGTCCAGACTTTTGTGGACTCTAATCCAGGATTCTGATATTGAAAAAAATCAATCCAATCTGTGTTTTTCAGGGTAGGAATTAGTCTTTTGTATTTCTGTGGCACTATCCCTGAAGGAAGTTCAACAGTGCAACTGACTTAACTTTCTCACACACAGGCACACAGAGTATTGTGACTGAAAACATGTCACAGATATTTTATAAAGCTCATTTCATTTCACACTGTACTTCAAAAAAGCAAAGATCTTGCATGGCCTTTTGGAAGGAGAATAAATGCACATTACGAATAACAATGAAATTTCACTATACTTAGCGCAAACCCACTGTTCATATCAGTTTTGGAGATAAAAAAATGTGGTTAGCCCACTTTTTCATTTTTAATCCTTGGTTGTATTGTGTGCTCTTTTGGCATCCACAGCAAACTGTCTGTGCCATTTTTTTTTTATACAAACGGTGGACACAAAACCTGAGTGAAGCTTGAATTTGACCAGTGAAGGACATTCAGTAAGGTCAAGTCCATCCCAAAACCAGGCCGCAGAAAACAGGTATGCAAATTCATGAGGTATGAAAAAATCCTGCCCACCGCCTTGTAAGGGGGTTTGGAGGCTTTGTGCACTCTGACACAAAAACACAAAAAACAAAATTCACATGAAAAATTGTTCTGCTTTCCATTTTGACTAATTTGTTAAGCATCTATTGCTTACCACACTAATGTAGGTAGGTCATTCTGTACAAGAGATCTTCTTTTAAGACTCTTATAATCATTATAAATGGTCATTCTAAAAACTCTGCCTATCATTTGTATTTTATCAGTTCAAAGGCTGATAAAATACATAAAAAGTTTTTTTTTTTTATGAAAACTGGTTCGTAAGTCCCCATATTGGCACACTGTACAGACCTCTCTAACTGCTGCTTGCAGCTATATTTTTCGACTGTAGCTCATAGTGATTACAAGAGACCATGGAAATTAAAATGTTATATGAAAAATGGTATCTATTTCAGATGAAAACTAAGCTGTGGCTGTTTTAGTTGCAAACGTCGAAAATTCACACACATTAACCTTTTTGCACAGACTGTTCGAAAGCTACTAAAGAAAATAATCTGGGTATGCATCAACACATCCTTACCACAGTCTTACAAGTGCATGAACAATAGTAAAAGTTTGTTAAATTCTTAAACTGTGGAATTTTATATGGTAACATATGACATAAGGCAGTGTTTCACACTTGGCAGTTGGTTTGGTCTGATTAAAACAAACCCTGGTGGCATTCAGGGCTGTGTCTTAGTGATTTTACTCTGCTTTCTGTTGTGGGAAAACCACTGTAACACACAGGCTCTCACAGCTTATTGTTTTAGAATATCCCAAGACAAAGATAAAATAAGACATACATAAAACCCACAAGCTCAGTCATCTAAGAGAACAGCATGACTCAGAAAGTTATGAAATCTGTCCAATCAGTTGTGACTTTTTACTTGCACCTCTGTTTACATCTTTTGCTTAGATGTTAAATATGTCATCATAAACACTAACAGAAACAGAACTAAAATGTAACAGCATATCATCTCCTGCTTTGGTCAAGACCAAGAGAACACAACTAGAAAATACAAATTAACTCTAAAAGGACTAACAACCAAATCAGATGCTGTTACATTTGGTGAAAATCAGCGTAATCTTAGTTCTGACTGGCTCACAGAAATACCTGGCTCACAATCTACATGATTGATATGTATGAAGTGCATGTCATTCAATATGGTTAATTTCAACAAAAAGTAAGTTTATAAAAGGTATGTATAAGAAAGGTACACATGCACAAGCTAAAAAGGATCCTGGAACCGCAGCACAGGAACAAACATTGGCATTGATTCCTCCACTTTCTGGTTGCTAAAAAGGTGAAAATAATGCAACAAAAACTGTGCCTGAACTCTGTGTGTGTGTTTGTGTATTTGTGTGTAAAAGAGAGATAGAGAGAGTGTGTGTTTCTCACCAGAGTGAGTAGGCTGAGTGTAGCTGGATGTAGTGCCAGGTTTTCTCCTGAGTTTAGCAGCGAGTACAGCAGGAAACGATTCCACGGCTGGCACACCACATGCTGGGCTACACACACACGGTAGAAGACATGAAGCAGTAGTAACACACTCATACACAGTACTGTGCAAATGTCAGAGCCATTAACAGTCATTAAGCTGTTCATTTTTCAGCATCAGAAAAAAAATATATAGAAAACATATTTAACAGAAAACTACACTGAAGCCTCCACTCTCTGCCTTTACTAAAATGTCCATTGCTTTAAGGAGACTTATTTTCATTTTTTAACTTTGCAGGGATTACACACTTTTTTCCACACTTCCAAAATTCTGTCTTATAAGTGGGGTTGCATTTTATGCTATGATGTTGGGGTCAGTCTTGGGTTGCCAATCCACTACTTTAAGAACACCATCAGTTAGCTGATGTAGCTTTGACATACCCATTTTCCTTTTCTGTCTAATTGCTTTTCTCAGTAAAGGCTTCTTGACAGCTACACTTCCACAGCGTTGTGATGGACAGAAACAGTTCTGAATCAAGAGTAGAGCTTGATTTGATCAAATATGAAAGTACTAAAGTACTAAAGCACTAGTAAGTGTTAAGTACTGTTTTCTGATAGTAACAGTTTTGGTGGTCTATCAGGTGAATGGTTGCTAAGAATCCTATTTTCTCTTTATCATTTCTTCGTTAGTTTTTTTTTACTTATTTTCATTAATTTAACTTTCTCCTTCATTATGCAAGTGGATAATCTTATATCTGATTTCTTCAGAAAGTTAGTTGCTGTTAGTGTGACACACACACACACACACACACATATATATATATATATATATATATATATATATATATATATATATATACCTATAGTAGGCTTTCTTCTGTGTAAAAAGCCTATCAGCGACCTCAGACAGTTCACAGACGCATTGAGCAGCATCTCTTGCTTCTGCAACACAGGCGCGCACACACACACACACACACATACACATACACGCACACACACAGTGAGATATGAATAATGAATAATTCATTACTCTTCAGCAGCAGTCCCAGTGAGCAGAACCCAAAAACTATCAAAGTAGCACAGACGGTGATGCAGACACACTGATTTAGTGCATATTTGAGTGTGTGTACCTGCAGCAGTAGACTCTGTAATGCTGTCACTAAGCTTGTAGCTCCTGTATAGCCCAGTGGATGTAGTGCTCCATCTACAGGCTGCAGGGGGCGGTGCAGCCTTAAACACTCCGATACACGCACTACAGGAGAAGACAGATCCACATCCAGCACGGCCTGCACCAACCGCACAACACATACTACAGAGGTAGGGAGGGAGAGAGAGAGAGATAACGAAATCAAACCCTATTACTATTATATATACAACAGTCAGTGCCTCCCACAGATATTCTGTCTCATTTTAACAATTTAAAAAATATTGTTGTTATGCTTAAACAAGATTACTCTTATGACACCCACGTGTTTTAAGCTTTTCTGGTTCTACGCTGCAGGCCAAGTAAAAAAAAAATGCATTACAAAATCCCAAGATAATACACAGCATTTCTTTTTCTAATTCCAAACTATACATGCCTTATTTGTATTTGTATACCCAAAAATTACTAAAATAATTTTTCATATATATATATATATATATATATATATATATATATATATATATATATATATATATATATATATATATACACATACACACACACACACACACACACACTCACTCACACAACACCCCCAAGCCTTGCCCTCGGATGTTCCCACACAACCACATTTCAGACCTGTGGGAGACGCTCCCACACTACATGGCCAAAGTATGTGCTCTGTTAAAAAATCCTTTTAAAAGGGTGGTTGAGTTGCCAGTAGAAAACTGTTAAATAACAGCTCACTTCTGTAAATGTAATGACATGGAAAAACTATAATATTCTTTATTTTTAATTAATTATTCTCCCAATTTATTGATCAGAAAATTTTATTTATAGGACACCCTCGATCACACACTGCTACTCACTTGTGCAATTTTACATCTAGAATTTGAATTCTCTTCATAAGAGTGAACCAGATGCAGTTACACTAGTGATTTATCTAATATATACTTAACAGATGAGCGATCATGTACTCAGATCATGTATTCTGATGTGTGCAAATTCACAGAGAAAGGCTTTGTGGTCATTAGGCTAGCTTAAACCTTACTGAAATACAGACAGAGGAAATGGCTAAATCTTAGAGAAGTGCATTTTGGTTGCTTCAGCAGTCGATATGTGAATTAAAGACGTTATTTGAGTCTAGCTTGCGTTTGTTCAGTTCAGTGTTATTCTCTGTAGTGCGACCTACCGGAACAAAAAGGCCCAAATACTTATCTAAATAGTCATGTTTTACAGTAAGAACAAAGATGCCAGATAAGAACTGAGCAGGGCAGCAGTATACAGATAAAAACAAAAATATCCAGTAAATGGTAAATGGAAGAGTGACTGTGGAGAGGGGGGCGTGGCCGAGCGTCGAATGCGGGACGGAGAAGCTGGTCGGGCTGAACCAGCAGGCCTAAGTAGCTGATGTTGTTCACCTGTGCCTTGTTTCTGCCAGCCTACTTATTGTCATCTCTTCCCTCAGTAGCTGGCAGAGCCCGGAGAGAGAAGGAGACCAGCAAAGGCGTGAGAACTGAGCTGAGCTGAGCCTGAGGACTGAAGTCACAGAAAAGTGGCCAGCGAGCGTGTTGTAATACTTTTGTGGGCTATTTGCCGCGTGTTTTGCGTTGTGTCTATAATTAATAAAAAGGAAGCTCTCCGCCTTCACCCCTGCCCCCGGCGTCTTTCCTCCCATCACGGTTAAAGTTGCTACAGTGGTGCCGAAACCCGGGAGGATTGGACGAACGTCGCCATGGAGTCCTCACCGCTTGAAGAGATAGTTAAAGCACTCTCCCTCCTGCAGCAGACACAACACCAAGCTCTCCTGGACGTCCAGCGGGAAAACCAGGCCCGCTTCGAGGCCCTGGCTCAGGGCCAAGAGGCGGACAGGAAGCTTTTCCGGAGTTTGTTGTCAGCCAGCAGTACTCCAGCTCCGGCTACCATCACCATCTCCAAGATGACTCCGCAGGACGACCCGGAAGCATTCGTGGAGCTCTTCGTGCGAGCGGCGGTAGACTGGGGGTGGCCGAAGAAGGACTGGGCCGTCCGACTGCTCCCCCTGCTTACGGGGGAAGCCCAGCTTGCCGCCCAACAGCTCCCCGCTCAGTCGCAGCTGGAGTACGACGAGCTGAAAAAGGCCGTCCTCCAGAGGGTGGGTCGGACTCCGGAGCAACACCGTCAGCGGTTCCGCTCGCTGACCCTCTGGGAGTTTGACCGGCCCTTTGTGCTGGCACAACAGCTCCGTGATTCCTGCAGGAGGTGGCTCTTGTCCGCAGATCGGGATTCCGAGGAGGTCCTCGACCTGGTGGTGCTGGAGCAGTTCATCACCCGCTTACCCGAGGAAACAGCAGCTTTGGTCCAGTGCCACCAACCGGAATCGCTGGACGAGGCCACAAAGCTGGCAGAGGCCACAAAGCTGGCAGAGGCGCACATGGCAGCGTATTCGGGGGCAGGAACCCCCACCCAGCCAATATCTCTCTCTCCTTCTCTCTCTCTCCCTATTCCCGCTCCCAGAAAGAAGGGGGCTCTCGCCCCCAAACCCTTTCCCCGCTCTCGCCCTCCCCGCAACTTTCTACCTACCACGCCCCCCCTGCAGCTACTCACGGTCTACCTTCTCTCTCCGCACAGGGGGCAACAGCTGAGCCCACAAGAGCTGGGGTGAAGCCTGGGCCGGTGTGTTGGCGGTGTGGGGAGCCTGGACATTTCCAGGACAAGTGCCACCACATGGAGGTCGGAACATTGGTCCGGGTTCCCACATTGCCACCCACCTCCCCTGATCGAGCTGGAGTGTACCGCATACCAGTGAGTATTCAAGGGGGTACATATCAAGCCTTGGTGGATTCTGGTTGTAATCAAACCACGATTCACCAATGCTTGATTCAAGATGCGCCATTGGAGAGGGTATACCAGGTGAAGGTACAGTGTGTCCATGGGGATGTACACAATTATCCTGTCCTGCCCATTACAATCGAGTTTCGGGGCAAAAAGCATAGCGTGAAGGCGGCGGTTAGTCCTCGCCTTACCCATCCTCTGATTTTGGGGACAAATTGGCCGCAGTTTGGGGTGTTAGTAAAGGCTTTAGTAGAGGATGGGTCCCGCAGCAGTATAAGGAAGGGGGCCTGTGCCGCACTCGAGGCAGGCGGGCTTCTCCGTCCGTCTGTGACGGCTCCTGAGCGAGGGGGGGCGGGAGATAGTTCCTCCGGAAGTGGGGCCGAACCTGACGGCGTGGCCGCGCCTCCGGGGATCACCCTCCTGGCTCCCCTCGGGGATTTCCCTCTGGAGAAGTCACGTGACGGTTCGCTGAAGCACGCCTTTGACCAAGTGAAAGTTATTGATGGTCAGTCGCTTGAGCCGGGATGGCCCCAGTCATACCCGCATTTTTCACTTATTAAAGATAGACTGTACAGAGTGACGCGGGACACTCAAACGTCGGAGGTTTCAACCCAGCTTTTAGTGCCAAAAAGCCGTAGGGAAATGTTATTCCATGCGGCTCATAATAATCCCATGGCAGGGCATCTGGGACATGAGAAGACAGTCAATCGTCTAATGGTCCGTTTCTATTGGCCGGGCATTTACGCGGATGTACGCAGGTGGTGTGCGTCATGCCGCGAATGCCAGCTCGTAAACCCTCCGGCGATTCCAAAAGCGCCTTTGCGCCCCCTTCCATTAATCAAGGCCCCCTTCGAAAGAATTGGCATGGACCTCGTCGGACCATTAGATCGAAGCTCACGTGGGTATCGCTTTGTATTGGTCTTAGTAGATTATGCAATGCGATATCCAGAGGCAGTGCCTCTTCGCAACATTTCAGCACGTACCGTTGCAGAGGCACTGTTCAAAGTAATCTCCCGAGTCGGGATCCCGAAAGAGATCCTGACTGATCAGGGCACAACGTTCATGTCACGCACATTACGCGAACTATACGAATTGTTGGGCATTAAATCGATTCGTACCAGTGTTTACCACCCCCAAACGGATGGACTGGTCGAATGCTTTAACCAGACCCTTAAAAATATGATTCGGAAGTTCGTTCACGAGGACGCTAAAAATTGGGATAAGTGGCTAGAACCTCTGTTGTTTGCGGTGCGAGAGGTCCCGCAAGCCTCCTCGGGGTTTTCTCCCTTTGAACTCTTGTATGGGAGGAGACCTAGGGGCGTCCTAGACGTTATTAAAGAGTGTTGGGAGGAGGGACCTTCAACCAGCAAAAATGAAATTCAGTACGTTCTTGACCTGAGAGCAAAACTCCAAGCACTGGGGCACTTAACTCAGGAGAATTTGCTCCACGCTCAAGAACGTCAGAGCCGCACCTACAACAGGGGCACTCGGCTGCGCAGGTTTTCACCGGGAGACAAAGTACTCGTTTTACTCCCCACCTCGAGCTCCAAATTACTCGCCAAGTGGCAAGGACCCTTTGAGGTCACACAGCGAGTGGGAGAAGTTGACTATGAGGTCAGACGGACAGACAGAGGCGGGGCACTTAAGGTATACCACCTCAATCTCCTTAAACACTGGAGGGAGGCGGTCCCTGTTTCTCTGGCGACGGTGGTTCCCGAGAGAGCTGAGTTGGGGCCGGAGGTTCCAACCAAGCTTGATCGCCCTCCGGTCCCCTGTGGGGACCAGCTCTCCCCGTCCCAGAAAGCAGAGGTGGCAAAGTTACAAATGGAGTTTTCCGACGTGTTTTCGCCTCTGCCCGGCCGTACTGACCTCATAGAGCACCACATTGAAACTCCTCCTGGCGTGGTTGTGCGTAGCCGGCCTTATCGCTTGCCTGAGCACAAAAAAAAGGTGGTTCAGGATGAAATTAAGGCTATGCTCGATATGGGGGTAATCGAAGAGTCCCACAGTGATTGGAGTAGCCCCGTGGTGCTTGTCCCCAAGCCCGACGGGACTGTTCGCTTCTGTGTGGACTACAGAAAAGTCAATGCGGTGTCTAAATTCGACGCCTATCCAATGCCGCGTATTGATGAACTGCTCGATCGGTTAGGTGCTGCTCGTTTTTACTCGACACTGGATTTAACCAAGGGATACTGGCACATCCCCTTGACTCCAGTATCCCGAGAAAAGACGGCTTTCTCTACTCCGTTTGGGTTATACCAATTCGTCACCCTCCCGTTCGGGTTATTCGGAGCACCGGCCACGTTTCAGCGACTCATGGATAGAATTCTCCGCCCCCACTGTGCTTATGCCGCTGCCTATCTAGATGACATTATCATCTACAGCAATGACTGGCAGCCGCACGTGCAACATTTGAGGGCGGTTCTGAGATCGCTGAGACGGGCGGGGCTTACGGCTAACCCGAAGAAGTGTGCGATTGGACGGGTGGAGGTACGGTATCTGGGCTTCCACTTGGGTCACGGACAGGTGCGTCCCCAAATTGATAAGACGGAGGCAATTGCGACCTGTCCGAGACCCAAGACCAAAAAGGAGGTGAGACGGTTCCTGGGGCTGGCTGGCTATTATCGTAGGTTCATACCTAATTATTCGGATGTCACCAGCCCGCTGACCGATCTCACTAAAAAGGGAGCACCAGATCCGGTCCAGTGGACGGAGCAGTGCCAACAGGCGGTAACCCGGGTTAAGGCAGCCCTCTGTGGGGGCCCGCTGCTGCATTCGCCTGACTTTGCTCTCCCTTTTGTTCTGCAGACAGACGCGTCGGGCAGAGGGCTGGGGGCTGTTTTGTCCCAGGAGGTAGAGGGGGAGGATCGCCCTGTGCTGTACATTAGTCGAAAATTATCGCTAGGTACAGCACGATTGAGAAAGAATGTTTGGCCATCAAGTGGGCGGTCCTCACCCTCCGCTATTACCTATTGGGCCGCTCTTTCACCCTCTGTTCCGATCACGCCCCTCTCCAGTGGCTCCACCACATGAAGGACTCCAACTCCCGAATTACTCGCTGGTACCTAGCTCTGCAACCCTTCAGGTTTCAAGTGGTTCACAGGCCGGGGGCTCAGATGGTGGTGGCCGACTTCCTCTCCCGCTCGGGCGGGGGGGGGAGTGGGATGTCGGCGGGACGGCTGCCCGGCCTGCGTCGGGCGGTGGGGGTATGTGGAGAGGGGGGGCGTGGCCGAGCGTCGAATGCGGGACGGAGAAGCTGGTCGGGCTGAACCAGCGGGCCTAAGTAGCTGATGTTGTTCACCTGTGCCTTGTTTCTGCCAGCCTACTTATTGTCATCTCTTCCCTCAGTAGCTGGCAGAGCCCGGAGAGAGAAGGAGACCAGCGAAGGCGTGAGAACTGAACAAAACCTTGTATCTCCAAAAAGAACAACTTTACAGAAGAAGGAAAAAAACATACTTTACCTTTAATGTAAGTCAATGGAACCAGACTTTTTTCCAAGTGACTCTGGGCCGTTTTTTTTGGTTCATTCATCATCAAATTTACACGCAACGTAAAGGGTGACAGGCATTTTCAAATTATGCGAAAAACAAAAACGACAAACATGGAAATACGAAGTTTTGATCCGACAGCAGTGATATGCAATATTTATATGCAAGTGTGCGTCTGTTGGTCTTACCCAGTACCAAGTTGTCAGTGTGTCTCTTGTGGAATGTGAGTGCTTTCACAACGATTTCTAGCTCTAAACACACACTTTTATGCACCTGAAACAAACATACAAAGTGTATTCTTACATACAAATATCACAAAACACTTGCACACATGCTATCGCTTTTCTTACATACACTATCATACGCATACAATAGTCTTATGCATATACAGATGAACATTAACCAGTATATGTGTGTAAGTGTTTGACAGCGTGTTTAAGAGTTTGATAACCAGCCGCTTCTGACTGGCTTACGAGCTTTCTGTTTAAATTTTTAGCTCCTGATCAGACAATTAATATTCTTACCGTAAAGGATCATTCTCATTCTCTCCATGCTGGAAATTGTATCAGCCTTGCTTTTTAACCTCTGCTACTCTCAGACTCTGATTCTCAAAATTCTTCTTATTATTATTATCTTTATTCCTCTTTATTATCATATACAAAATGTGAACTTGGAAAAGAAAAACACTGGAAAACATAACAGCACTTGTCAATTTAAGTTAAAAATGACACAGACAATACTGAGTATGGTCTGAGAAAAGCAGAAATTAAAAAGCTATGCTAAATGGTTACTTACATTAAGAATGTTCACTGGTCAATCTAAAAGACACTGTTAAATTGTCAGATGTGTATGCATACGACATAAGATTGTGTGCATGAGAGTTTGACACTGTATGCATGAGAGTCAAATTTAAATACTGAAAACTCTCATAGTTATTCTCACCTGTGCAGAGAATGTATGCTGTAGAGTGATAAGTGAGCTCAATAGAAGGAGACAGCAGCAAATGAGTGAGGAAGAAGAAATAACAGAAGAGGGGGAGGACAAGAGATTCAGCACCACCTGCAGCAACTCCATCACACCTGTGTTGGACAACAACATGGACACCACTGTGCGCGCACACACACGCACACGCACACACACACACACACACACACACACACACACAGAGCGATGAAAGCATCAAGTCAGAGTGAGACAACCAGATTACTGTTTTTAAATTTGAATGTTATTGAGTGTCTGTGTTTAAATATTGAACATCAAACCTGCTTTAAGCTTTGAATGAGTGCATGCTTGTGCATGTTTGCGTGTTCTCATTCAGTACCACATGTATAAACAAGTACAGTGAAAAAAGTTTCCCTGATTTTGATGCAATATGTACTCAGAATGCAACTGAAATTAACATTAAACTTAGTAAGGCTGTGGAGTAAGTCTTCCCACATTTTGTGTGATCCACTCTCAAATTCTCATGCATATGCATGAGAGACAAAAGTGCATTTTGTGTTTTTCCATGCACATGGTCAATAAACTGCACGCTTAGGTCTCATATGCCAAATTTGTTCATAACATGCAAGCAGAAATTCCGATTTGCACCTGAAACTGGTGCAAAATACTCAGTACCCCAGACCCCTCAGGTGTTTTGTGTATACAGATACATGTGTGTGTGCATTACCTCTGTCAGCAGTGTGTGGTGGACACAGGGTCAGACAACAGTAGAGGTAGTTCAAGGCTGGCAGCAGAAATTCTGAGTTATTGCACTTTACCTTTCCAACAAGATTACTCACTACGAACAAACAAACACACACAAACACCCACACACACACACACATATATATATATATAAGTTTCCACTCATGTCCTCAGCCTCAGCTGTCCCTAATAAATCATTATAGGCTTGGAATCAGGCTTTGAACCTGCAGATGTGATGATAAAGTCACTTGATATCACATGTGATGGAGACAGACATGATAAAGACATGTAATGATGATGTGAAGAGACACCACATTCAGCAGGAGCATTTTTGACTGTTTTTTTACTTTTGAAGTCTATATATACTAAGCGATAGTTTACTATCAGCACCTTTTGTAGCACTGAATAATGAGACATTCAGTAAATAAGCATTAGTCATGGCTTGAATCAATCAAATACTTAAGTACTTCTTGGTTACGTTGGTATTTGTTTTGTCAATTTAGAATTTGTACAATTTAACCTGCTATACCACAGAAATTGCAGCCTACAATAAACTGGTCTTTTAGTGATAATTTCCAGGGATATTCTGATACCATTTTTTACAAACTGACTATGAATACATATTTTTTTTGTACTGCTGATACCAATGCATTCTGAGTAAGCTACTTAGAATTAAATAGATGTTAGTGTAAATGAGTGCAATGTACCTTACATGTTAAATCTGTCTGATTTTTAAATGAAGTGCATTAGCTACCTATGTTACCTTAATTACCATTGATCAAGTAGCCTTTTAGTGGAGAAGAACAGGTTAAGTTCCATGTCAGAAAAGCACTTCAGTCTCTTTCAACAACAGTGTCTGTAGCACAGTGACAGCAGGAAATCACATCCAAGGCTAATCTGAGGAGCTTACGTTTTGAGATTTACTTCTTGTTGGAGTCTTTTTGGCTGGTTGGCTGGGTAAACAGTAGTTGAATGTCCTCTAAAGCCAGGCATACAATGTATTTTAGAAATCTTGTTCTTTGGTGACAATTCACACTGTATGTTTGAACAGACCACCGTGTACAATTTATGTGCTTACGTTGTACGAAAAGGCTCGGTTCGACTGACATGCTATGTGAAATGCAGCCCAAAAGACAGCGCTGTCTATGAACAACTATTAATAAATCAAATTCATTCAAAACAACAAACTGCACAAACTGAGCAAACATGCTGAGAAACTGTGCTACAGCAGCTTTGCTAACTTGTGCCACACTGCACACTGAAGCTAAAACCAGGCAGCGATGTACACAGGCAGGATGATGCTGTCTATCTACAGCCTAAGACTTTAATTAAAAAAAAATCAATGCAATAAACTTTATACCTCTCAACTCTACAGAGTAAAGACAGCATATACAGACTTTGGTACTGCAGACATTGACTTTTTCACCACTGTTTAGCTAGACTACGTTGTCTCCATCCATACTGGTGATGGGGTTGTGATTGTGTTTGTGTGTTGTGGGCTAAAACTGCACAATTAATTCCTGGAGGGAATGTTTAAAATGACCAACGACTTGAGTGTCCGGTTGCCACAGTGTCAGCAACACTTCTCTGTGTAAGCAGACTCTCGTTCACTGCAATCTTGACTTGTTTGTTCATTAGCATAGCAGTATGCAATAGGCTTACATCACATGGTATCAGGTGGTATCGGATGATGGGCATTTCTATGAGTGCAAGCATGAGTAAAGTATGAGTAAATGAGCGCAGTATTGGTAAAAAATTAATAAATTATAGCTGATTTCATTCAGGATGCATGTGCAAGTGGCACATGGCAGACACATAAGGGAAGACAAACAAGAAGGGCAAAACAGACAAAGAAAAAAGCAAGGAAAGACAGGATGTTACATTTTTGAATACCTCATAAATTCATGCCTTGTATCACCTCAATTCAGAGTGCAGCAAACTGCATCTTTTTTTCCAATGACCACTGAGGCTAAAAGAGCAAAAATATCCAATAACTAAAGCATGTGTGGGAGCACTTTAAATTTTGTGACTATAAGAAAATGCCCACAAAAAATTTGCAATAAGAGGTTGGAATACCATGGAGGCCCAACAGTAACAAACAACAGATCTGAAATAGATCTGTTGTTTGTGCTCTTAAGTTTTAAGGCCACCAAGATCACATTTTAATGAAGTATTTTGATATAGTTTAGTATGCTAAAGAGTGCAAGTGTGTGATTAGACTGGATCTCTATGGAGTTTACACCTCACTCGTGTGTGAGTGGACAAAAAATTGACACAGGTTTTGATGGATGTGTGGTCTAAAACATTATCAATATAAGAAGCGTGTGTTTTGTCAGATGAATGAAATCCCTATAAATATTATTCTGAAGGGTGATTTCGAGTACTCGTTCTCGAAAGAAATATCAACAAGTAGTCTAAGCCTGTAAAATTCAGGGCAGCCCCATTAATAATCCATACTTTCTGATCAGCTTTCATTCGTACAGTGACGTATCTGCAACTAAAAGTTGGTGCCTCAAAATGCATGTTCTCACCGTGATACAGCAGTTTAAAGTCTGTGTTGTCCATATTGCTTTGAGCTGGCAAGTTATTCTGCACTGAACACAACACCTCCAGTATCAAAGAGCCTAGAACTGCAGAGACAAAGAGGGAGAACGTGGCTAATTAAACATATAGGCAGTATAATGAGATCAGATCATTCCATCACAACACTATCCAAATCTCGCCATGACTCATCAGACTGCAGTCTCGTCCTCATCTACAAAGCCTTATTCACACACTGATACTAACATTTAACTTTCATCTGTGCAGACATGAGTTGCAAATAATGTCCATAGCATCGTCCCCAACTAACAATTAATGCTATCCAACTTATGTGCTAAAATTAACCCAGCAGTCTTCAAGGACCCTGAGGCAGTGTATATTTTTCTTCTATCCCTATTCTTTATTAGCTAGGTTTGAGCAAAAATGTGGACTGCCTGGGGGTCCCTGAGGGGTGTTTGAGAACCTCTGTTCTAGTAAACATGAACCAAAATTTGGGCTGACTGGTTAACAGAGCTTGCCAGGTTAAATTACCAATTTAAACAACCAGATCCACCCACCATGTGTTCGAATTGCATATAAGCATAAGCCATAAGATCAAAATACCTGTAAGATTGTGAAACACATATATTCAGTCAGGTGTGTGAAACTGTTGGAGGAGACATACACTACCCTGGGGAAACTGACTTCATTTGAATAATATGTAAATGAGCACAATTATGCATGCAGCTCATATTATGAAACAGCTTTAATCACTGTCTACTTAACACTCTAGAGAAGAAAATATGAGTTTAAAATACATTCTATAAGTAATTCAGGTGTAATATGCCTTATTCAACACAACACATTTTAAATGGCCAGAGACTAGTGACCTTTAGCAGGTCAAACACTGGATGGTATGTCAGTGACCTGAATTTGAAGATGCATAGTTAACATTCAACTCAAGATACAACTGAACATTACTGCTTATTAAAAAGTGTAAAACTGCACTGCCTATGTGAATCAATTCATAAAAACATTAATATTCACTTGGAAAAATAGTTTTCCTTTCCATGCCTGCATACATAAAGCCTATGGGATTATTTCACCTTTTTAAATTAGTTTGAAGGCAGAATGATTAGAAAAGTAATATAACTTTTCTTATTGGAGAAGATAAAAAGACGGAGAATATTAACATTAACTGTGTGAAAGGTCACACTGTTTGGATAGTTAAAAAGTGTGGCCTGCGGGCCTGCGGGCCGCTCCTGTGAGCATACATAATTTGGCCTGCCGGAAAGTTACCCTATCCCCATCCCCTCATCCTATTATAGAAGATAAATATTTTTATACTATATGTAACTTTAACTTTCATTTCCATTTTAAAATTCTACTTTAAAGTATTTTAGTAATAAAAAAAATAGCATAGTAAAATACATTTAAAAAAAATCACTCTGAAATTTTCCTACATTCTTTACTAATACATTTTCTTTTAGGCACTTGGTCCACCACAAACAGTGCACTTTGCTTCCCTAGACAAAAAGTTGGGGCATCCCTGTCTTAGAGTAAAATGAGCCATGAAACAGAAGCTAATACCATAAGCTACATCATTAACTTAGCCAGTTAACAGTGCTAAAACAGCAGAAGCTGAACTAAGATGAAGATGAACTAAGCCCATCAATCATACGTTTGTGCCTAAAAATTTGACATCACAAAAAAAAATGTATCCAAATGGATGGAACACGCATGAATGGAAACCCAGCTACTGTGACTCCCTTCCACATACACTGGAAATTGTTCTAACAAAAACTACAGTCTGTGTGCTACAAATTCTCATCATATTGAAATGAGGTTTTACCAGCATTCTGTAAAGCTTGTCCAAACTCACAGCAGTATCTACGAAAGAACACATTTGTGGGCAGAGCAAGGATAGGGCAATTGAGTTTAAAGATAAACAGAGAGAAAGATCTTTTCCTCCACCTGTGTTGTCTTCACTGTCACAGGTGAGTCTCTGCAAGAGCTTCAGCAGAGCAGGCTTGAGCAGGTGAGCCTGGGCAGAGCTACAGGAGCGTCCAGCCTGCAGGTAACACCGCAACACCTGAACCGCTTGACGAGCAACTGACCCATCATCGTCACACAGTACACCCTACAGAGAGAGAGAGAGCAAGAGAGAGAAAGAGAGAGATTTATAGAGACAGAGGGAGAAAAAGTGAGAGAGAGTCTTGTCAAGTCTTCATCTTGATAATCATTAAGACAAAATGTAAAAAGCTTGATTTTTAAAAAGTCTTTTCCAACCAGCTTCTAGCTAGAGAACAGCAAACTGCGATTCCAAACAGCCAAATTCAGCCAGAAATTTTAAATAGAAATACAAGAAAAATATGCAGAATGTTTTTATTTGTGAGTAAAATTTGCTAAAGCAGGTTTATCCCAGAGGACAATGAGTGACTGCAGAAGTGTTAGGTCCTGTCTTTATGCATTAGGATGTTTTTGCAAATCTGTTTTTTACACTGGATTTTGGCCTCAAATCCAAATGAAAACTGACCTTTTGGAAAAAGCTCTCCAGAGTGAAGATTTTTTTGTGTGGATGGGTAATGGATGGGTAGCACAATCGAACCTAATGTTTCATCAGTGATCCATTTAGAGCATTTGTTTTTATAAACAACTGTACAATTTAATGTATAGCAAAATTACATAATAATATTGGACTTAAAAAAGGGTTAATAAAAAGAGTTTAGAATGTGTGTTAGGGCAGTGAAAACCGAAAATGTAGAGCTACCAAAACCAAGACAGGGAAACCATAAACCAAGCTGAATATCTCGTCAGTGATCTATTCAAAGTTTGTGTCCTTCAAGCCATTAAAATCTGCTTCCAGAATTGTGTATGTGCATGCATGCCCATGTTGGTCATAGTAAAATGGATCCACATGTAGAAATGGAGCTCGGTGTGTTAGTTTTCTATTGCTGTATAAAAGAAGTTTTATGCTGCCTTTATTGTTGGATGCACTGTGATGGTTTTTAAGCAAGCATTCAATCACAATCAGAGCACAATTTACTAAACACTTACTACTGATTTGTTTCATCAGGGTTTATGTGTTACTTAATCAAATCTTTTTGTTGATCCTGTTCTTTAAATATCAAAATAAATGCAGCAGCAGCACAAAGACATTTTGCTACAAAAGGAGAAAAGTAGATTTAATGGCAGAAATACTGTTTTTTTTTTCATGTTTTAATTTTAATGTTCATCTCACCAGCAGGGATAGTATAGTAGAGGGTTTTTTCTCAAGCAGCTCCAGAAGCACTGATGACTCTACGTTCTTCTCTAGATCTGGGCCGCTCTGTTTATTCTCTCCACACACAGCTGGTTCTAATCCACCTGCCAGCCAGCTGGACAAAATCTTCATCCCAAATCTCTCGGCCAGGGCAGAGTAACGGAAGATGAAGTGCAAGAGAGCAGGATGAGGGGAGGACAGAGGAGAGAAAGCGAGAGGAGTGGAGGAAAGGGCGTTACTGATGCTGTTCAAAGCAGCCTGTGAGAGAGGAGAAATGTTGCACTTTTATAGCATTCCTTAATTCATTAAAAAATAAGAATAACATGCCCAATAATTAAGAGTGTAAAGGGTGCACAACAATTGTATTTAATTTCGACTCTAATAATTCAACGCATTAAGAAATTCTACAACAGTTCAACTCAACTTGATAGTTTTAGCACAATTCAAAATAATTTTTATAAAAACACTGAATTACCCAGTCTAGATCAGGGTTGCTTTCCTGGGTTGCTCCCAACAGATAAAGTGCAGGCTTTAAGACAGATGGAGGAAGAGAATCATGCTGTTCCTGCATCACACACAGAAAATTTACTACACTGGAGAACACTGTGGCATCAGGCAGCAACCTGCAACACACAAACACACATACATTTGCACATCTCTCTCCTCAAATGTATATGCATAATGAAGAGAAATGCATTTTAAATTCTACGATGCACACGGATGACAGACTCTGCTAGTCTATTAAATCGAGCGGAATATGTAATCAGTTGCATAGCTTTTCACCCTTTTCTTCCATCCATCCTCAAACCGACCTGTCACCGTGCAGCAGTGAGAGATACAGCAGGTGGAGTAAACAAAACTGTGTGTTTTGATTTTCTTCTGGAACCTCAAGTAACACAGAGGGCCAATCACATACACGACACCAGAGAGATGGCAAACACTCCCGTAGAACATATTCCACTTCTTCTACATCTGAGAGAGAGAGAGAGAAAGAGAGAGAGAGAGAGAGAGAGAGAGAGAGAGAGAGAGAGAGAGAGAGAGAGAGAGAGAGACAGACAGAGAAAACAGACTAAGTTCACACTGTCACTGGTGATAACAAAAACATGTTCTAATTTTATATTAATAGTTTCTGCTTCTTACCTCACTCACTGCAACAAGCAGAATTATTTGGAAATGCAGATTCTAAACGTGAGTCAGTGAACTATGGACCAGCCACAGCATTATGTGTGACGATTGTGTGGATCAACATGATTTGTTTTTACGTTAACGTTACGTTAAAGTTAGTGATATTACTGCTTGAACACTGAAGTAATTAAGCACTTTTAATTATGTTTTTGATGGCTATGCTCAAGTCAAACTGTACAGCACATAGATTACATTTTGATTCTCCTGATTGACAAAAGACAGTCAGATGCATTGACAACCTTTGGTAACACAACCATTAGGGGGTTTTGTAACAAGGCCAGGAGTAAAAGCACACACACACAACCTTGCTGGTGGTTGCCAGTTACAGGGCGTGGCTGGGAGAGCAGACACACACACAGTTTCAGAAGAAAACCACAGCATGCTGCATTTAAAGATGAGTGTCTGAAAGACAGAGAGACAGAATCATTCAACCGAGAAAAGCAACACCCAACACTTTCCTTCAAGCCCCCAGCCCACTCGTTACCTATTGTACAGACTTTCTAGATATTTATATATAATTAATGTGCTATGTTCGCTTTGAAATATCAGTGTGGACCCAACCGCTCAAGTTGGGTTTGGTCAGGTTGACTGTCATTTCCCAAACTGGGCACTCTGAGTGATGTGGGCCCATTTCAAATCAGTTACAAGCAGATTTTTGCATTTCAGGACTCAAAACTTGGTGCTGTGGGTCGGGCTTAAACAGAAATTTCTTGGGTTGCATCCAGGTTTTTTAGGCCTGATTCAAGCTCTAATGTATGTGTGTGTGTGTGTGCGCACACAAGTGTGGGTGAGATCTGTACCTGTTTCCTGAACACAGAAGAGCCTTGTGTTCTACAGCCAGTCTAATGAAACCAGAGGAGGCTGACAGACAGAGAGAGAGAGAGCGAGAGAGAAGATGACAGAATATTCCTTAATAAGTTCCTAGAACTACGGACTGAACTTTTTAGATGTGGAAAAATAACTCAGATTTTTGCAGAAAACTGTCTCAGATATGAACAGAAACTGTGCTAAGGGTAGGCACACTAAATACTGAAACATTTGACATTTGTCATTTTCTGTTGTTTTCTTTCTTATTTTTCCCGATGGGTGTATTTAAAGGGGATGTTCCATACTACTAATGATGATGAGGGTAAAAGCATATTACACTATATGGACAAAAGTATTGGGACACTTACACATTACACCTACAGGAGCTTTTATGACATCCCATTCTAAATCCATAGGCATTAATATAGAGTTGGTCCCCCCCTTTGCAGCTATAACAGTTTCCACTCTTCTGTGAAGGCTTTCTAAAAGATTTTGGAGTGTATGTGTGGAAATCTTTGGCCATTCATCCAGAAGAGCATTTGTGAGGTCAGACACTTATGTTCGATGAGAGGACCTGGATCGCAATCTCCGTTCTAGTTTATCCCAAAGCTGTTCGATGGGGCTGAGGTCAGGGCTCTGTGCAGGCCGGTCAAGTTCACACCAACTCATCCAACGATGCCTTCATGGAGCTTGCTTTGTGCACTGCAACAGAAAAGGGCCTTCCCCAAACTGTTCCCCAAACAACCCCCCCTCTGTGAGTTTGCATGGTCTATCGCTTCATGGCTAAGCTGTTTTTGCTCCTTGGTGCTTCCATTTCACAATAATAGCACTTACAGTTGACAGGGGCAGATCTAGCAAGACAGAAATTTCACACACTCACTTGTGGCAGACGTGGCATCCTATGACAGTGCCATGTTTAAAGTCACTGAGCTCATCAGTACGACCCATTCTACTGCCAGTGTTTGTCTATCAAGACTGCAAGGCTTTGTACTTAATTTTATCCACCTGTTAGCAATGAGTGTGGTTGCAACACCTGAACTCAATAATTAGGAGGTTTTTCCCAACACTTTTGTCTACATAGTATGTGTTTGCTATATATTAGTATTGGACATCCCCTTTACTGCTTCAGCAACAGTTAGCCCCTGAAAGAGACTTTTTCTTTTTTTAATCTGCTCTTCTCCTTTAACAACATGACTGCTCTGTGCTGTCATTACATGTCTGAATATACAGAACATAATCTTTTCTAGCTGAAAATCTGCATATTTTTATTTGTGTTACAAACGACAATTTCAAGCAAGCAAACACATGAGGAGGAATATACTCTATACCTCAGTGGCCTTTTACTGTTACTCAAATGAAACAGATCAATAAAAAGTGTTTCCATAGCAATGTGAATTGTCCTCTGAATGTGCATGACCACTCACTCAGAAACTACTGCAGTGCATCTTTTGACCTTTTTCCCCTGTCTATGTTTATTCTCACCTAGCTTAGTGGCGAAGGTGGGCGTAAGTGACGGAGAAAGTGAAAATTGCATAGAGAGAACAGAGAAAAACAGCTGCAGCACCTGCGGACTCGGGACACGCTCACACAGCCTCTACACACACAAACACACACACATGTATATAAAAAAAGAGTAAGTCTATATATCTATGTACAGATATATAGCACTGGCAGGATGCAATGCAGAGTGGGCTTGTCTTTACTGACAAAAACTGTGGTTATTACACTGTAAGGTTACGTAAAAGGTTTGCAGACTGAACGATTCATGATTACAGGGACACTGTGGCCAAGCCACAGTTTTGATGATACCCCTTTTGATGATATATCTTAAAGAGGGAAGAACTTGTGCAAACAATATAACTGCTTTGGTTCGCATTTTAAGGGTGGGCTGTTGTAGCAGTAACGTTAGCTATCTGGTTTTCATCTGCAAAGAAAAAAGTAAAAAACACAAAAGTAGGCACATGCACAGATGGGCCACTTGGGGAGCCTGAGTCTCTGCCCTACTGCCCTCAGACTGTACAAGTGCTCTCTTGGTCACTGTCTATAATAACTGTATTTTATATTTCCTGGACCATTGTTCAAGGTGTGTTTCAGTTAAACTTAGTTCAGCCTGAGAACAAATCAGTTTGAGTACAACAGCTTCAATTTCTTGAGCCTCTACTCTGGTGTAGTACCAACTGCTGGTGGAGATCTGATGTTAGTAACACACCAACCTGCATAATCACAATCATGCATAATCACACTTCTAGAAATCCCAAAAATCAAGCAGTGATAATATGTTGATAATTTGAACAACAACCAAACAAAGTTGGCAGTAAGGGATAACACCATTTTTTGTTATTGGAAAAATAAATCGTTATTTATTTTGCTGGTAGCAATTAAATTAAATCAGTTGTAGTTTGTCAAAGTTCCTCCCACCCTTGATATGTTTTTACAAGGGGATTTTCATAGTCTGGCCATAGCTACCCTTTAAGAAAGAAGAAACACAGAAGCAAGAAAGAACAAACCTAAAGCACAGCAACTAGTACAAAACACAGATTTGCATTAGAAAAAAAATCTTGCTCTTTAAAAACTTTATATATACACAATCAAACAACAATTAATTACCAGTAGGCACATTAGGAGGGGGGCCAGTTTCATTAACACTTTTCAAATTTAAGGCTTCCTGAATATTAATTTTATTCTAGTTGCAGAATGCCTGCATTATATTAGAATCACTTCAAACACTTACCTTTACAAAATTAGCTTTATATTTATATTTATCTAATATAAACATTGAGTCTAAACTTTTGAACAGTAGTGTGCATGTATTTAGGGTGTGTTTGTCTGTAACTCACGGTGACTACAGGGATGTAGGCTGTGTCACAGCAGTGCAGCAGACACACACACAGAGACTCAAGTGTGTCCTCACTCTGTTTATCTGGAGCTATGAGTGTGTTCTCCTTCACACTGGCCTCAGTAACACACTCCTCTGCCAACCTGGACACACACACACACACACACACATATGTTCGGATTATTTCAACCCTGTGCTACAAAACAAATCAGGAAAATAAACACATCTTGTTTTACAAAACAGAATTAAAGCCACATAATATTAATCCTGTGCTATAAATGGAATCTTGTATTAGTCCTGTGCAACAAAATGAAACAATAAATAAATAATCCCACCTCCCCATGTAAAACTAATCTTGCCCCAAAGGTACTTTACACCATGCCATTTAAGCCTTGTTAATGAACTATAAGCAAGTACATCATGCTGGTTCCCCTTCTATTCTGTTTCATTCCTACCTGTCTGCATTATGGACTCCTTTACTACCATAATTTTACACACTTTCGATCTGTTTGTTATCTGTGAAGCTTTGCCGGTCCATTTAATGTTTACAGGTAAGCCTGCCATACAAGAGCTTGCCTATCTTTTATCTGAACTGTCTGGAATGTTTGATCTTTTTTCTTTTTTCATTAAGTCCTAAGACTCAGCAGATTAAGTACCGAAATTCATAACCATTATAAACTAACATGACTTATTCATGATCTACTATATATTATTCAGTACCCGCTATGAATTATTCAGTAAATGACAAGAATTATGCATTATCTACTGCCAATAGTATAATATGTATGCGAACTACAAGCATTCAGTGTTCATGTTTCCAAAAACATCAAATGTATTCCAGTGCTGGAGCATGACAGCAAAATGCAAGTTCTTGACAGAACATTCCTCATGTGCTTTACAGTACACTAACATTGTTGTTGCCAGTTGCCAGGTTTTCTGTGTATGTGTGTGTGTGTGTGTGTGTGTGTGTTTGTGTATTTCTCTACTGACCTACAAGCCTCTTGAAAGCAGGTCAAAGCCTGGATTAAAAACACTCCTGCTCTGAAAGACTGACCTGACTCAGAATCTGGAAAACACCTCTAACAGATGCACACATACAGAAAAAACACAGGTTATACAGGTATCTTTTTAACGTAACATTTCTTACAGTACAACCCCAATGTTTGTCTGTTGCCTTCTACCTGTTATAGTCTCTATTATTTAAAGTAACCCCTTAAAATCCTAGGCTTATTATATACTAAGGCTGATCATTTAGTAACTAAAGGTACCCCAATTCATACTGGTTAAAATATTCTTAGGTTACAAAAGTGTGTAATAAAACCCTGGCCTATTAACACTGTTCATTTTATTTTATTTTATTTGCGTAACTATTACTGAATTTTATAACTTATTTGAAGTGCACTTTGAGCTGCTACCTGTATGAAAGGTACACTATGAATAAATTTGCTATTGTTATCATTATTTTAATTAATAATAGTTGTACTAGCTGTTACATCTTATCCTTTCAAGGCAAACATATAAATGTGGCTATATCTGCTGTTTAATTTGCTCTTCTTCTTTATGTAATTTCTCAGTGCTGTTCATTTGAAATGTAAAGAACATGATGTAACAAGGCAGCAAATTCCTAGATTTTTATTTACCGCACAAAAACACATTTACAGGAACATTAACTGATTAATTACTCTTATTAAACAAATAAAAATACATGCTTACTGATCCAAACTGCAACCTGAATGTGTCTGCACTCTCATTCAGAAAAAAAGGAAAAATGTACATATAAAAAAAGGCCTTTGCATAAAGTGATAGAACACTTCAGCACACAGAAAATGCAGAAGGCATAAAGGTCTGTAACAACAGGGACTTAAATGCAAACTGGTTGAGCTATTCTTAGGTTACAGAAGTGTGTAATAAGACTTTGGGCCCTTTCCTAACAATGCAGCAACTATAAACCACATACACACAAACACACACATACTCTGCGCTGTGAAGTGATGTGTAAGGGTAGCTCAGCACATCTTGAGGTTAAAGCCTCAACAATCCTCTTTAACTCTCCAAAATGAACTGGACTGGACTGATGATGGAGCCTACACACACACACACACGCACACACACACAAAATAAATACAGTATACTGTGCCACAGTTTATGCTGCAAAAGAAATCCTGAGAGATCATCAGTTCGCCAGCTAACTGGCTAACAGGTTCCAGGCACCAACAATATTCAGATAAAAGCCCTAGATTCAAGTGTTACAGAAGGAGTGTCATTAAACTACACAAATACACACACACACACACACATAAAAAAATAAGAATATGATAATTATAAAATCACACCCTGCACCACACTAAATTCAATCACTAGTTATTCCCTCTTTTAATAACACATGCAGCTGGTCAGTGGCCTTTATGTTCTTACGATACACACAATATGCTCAGAAATGCATGCTGTAACATCATTTATCATGATAAAGACAAAATATTGTGATATTGCTCACTTCTCAATTGAACGTTACATGGAAATGTCTGTGTTTAAGTTTTTATAATAAATGTGAATATATACGACCGTTATCTAAGTAATAACGTTGCAATGCTTACACTATGGGGTAAATCAGCATTATGCAAACAGAGGTAATCTGATTAAAAAAAATCCTATCTATAAAATGAATTGAAATGTTCTGCATTAAACCCTGCAATGTAACATACACTACTAGCAAATCTCCTTGATTGTATCACGTGTTGTATTAATGTAGTGTCATAAAGGACAGTTATTTTTAATTAGTTACATGTCTCCATGTGTCTATACTTATGACCCTGACATTGTGTATGTGTGTGCGTATACCTGAACAGTGCAGTAGCTGCTTGTGCTGCCTGTGTAGCCACCCTGAAGCAAGATGACGTCACAGCCCCCTGCACTACTTCAGCTACGCCCACAAACCCAGGAACAGTGGGGAATAGACGCAGACTCGTGGGCTGCCTGACACACACACACACATATTTACACAACATGAACATAGGAAACAAACACAGAATCAATCCAGTAATGTAACACAATTCCTACTACATTCATGTGTGTAGGAGGATCATCAGCAGCCCTGTGATCAGTGAAGGTACTGCTTAAGGAGCTACTACCCAGTTTACACCATAAAAAGGACAATTTTGGAGAAATACATCAGCCATTTATTGAGCATTGCAAAGTTATTGACAGTACATACTTACATGTGTATACTGAACCCACAAGAGCAACATTAACTTATTTCCCTACAGCTTTAAAGAGTAACTACACCCTAAGACCTTTTTTTCATTAACAGCCAAAATGCACTGCTCTGAAATAATAAAATATACCATCCTTGCTTAAGATGTGAACACATCTTTCCAAATTGTAAAAATATCATTTTCATCGTGGTCAGTTCTGCCTCTGCAGCGTCCTCTGCTACAGGCGTGGATGACGTGCCTACTCATGCCGCACTCATAAATATGAAAGCATAGGACACTGGAGCAAGAAGATAACCACACTCACGTGCTGTGCTAAATACCCCCAGCACCCATTGATGCCAGCTGTCCGTAACAACTGTAAATAACCCAATTAATCTAAGCTTAGTTCGTAATAAAGATGTTGGACCGTTTAAGTGACGATTCTCGCAAGCGCGAACTCACTGAAAAACTTTTCTCAAACTTTTTTCCTGCTTTCCGTAGTTTCAGTGTTGCTTGCCGTTGATTTCTGTTTAGTGAGAGAGTTCGATTTACGAAAAGGAGCATGAATTTTAGTAGGAACTGAATTGGATGTAACACGGATAAGTCCCATGAACAGCTAGCAGAACGCAAGGATTTAGGGCCACTGCAGCAAACCCTGGATGACCGATGATGCAGTCTGTGACCTTGACGTCAAACTGAATGAAACTTAGACAATGTTCAAAGAAATCCACTTTATTCATTCAGAATTCAGTGCATCTACGAAATCAGGACTCTGGTTATATCGAATATGGACCTGCTGAACAGATAATTAGAAGTTAGCTGTCACTGTTTTAGGGAATGTTCTACCGTTCGGACGCCTCTGCCGCTCGCTGCTAATCATTTTCTGGCACTACGTTAACTCTTCGGTAGCTTGAGTCAGTGGCTCAAGATGCACTGCCTGATCAGAAACATGTTCCTCCGTCGAAGATGGGGATAAAATAGTGGGGTGTAGTTACTCTTTAAGCGTACAAATTTGTGTGTGTGTGATGGTGATCTTTACCTCTCCAGTATAGCGGTCAGCAGCTGTAAGCCTTTTTTTTGAACCTCCAGATTAGACAACTTGAATACTGCCTTCAGACTGCGAACCAGAGACTCAATACCTAATGCGCACACGCACACACACACACACACACACCGTTATTGAGCACAAGCTGAAAATGTGTTCAGAGGTCTTTCTCATTCCTCTAAATGTCCAGCAGGTGGCAGTATCATCACAAATAAGCAACAGCCTGTCGATGATTATTTTGTGACCACTCAAGCTGCAGGGTTGACAGATGCTTCTTTACACAGAAGTACAGTGGGAGAAGTAAGTTTTTATTTTTTTAATTAAACATGTAGCTATTCACATATAATTTAGACCAGACACTGATATTAACTCAATAAAACTACATAGTAACATTCCAATCCATTAAATAAAAACATCAAGTGCAATTAAGAATAACACAGAAAAGAAGTATTGAAAACAGTCAGAAAATGCATTAAATCAGCACAGTGAGAGATCAGATCCTCTGCACAGGAAACATCCTGAAGCAATCACTTGAAGGAATTACTGCAGACAAAGACTTCTCCACTAAGCATTTAAAAAAAATCAGTTAGCATGTTTAATACTTTTTTCCTGTCATTCAACTTTACTGCACATTTTTATAGCTTGGAATGTTAAAAAATTCTTTAGATTTGTCGTTTTATTGAGATACCAATGTCTGGTCTAAAGGTCATGTGAATAGCCGCACTGGAAATATGTTTAATTAGAAAATTGTTGATGTGTTGTTGATACTTATTAGATACTTAATGCCCCCACACCAATCACTTCATTAAGTTCACTCTTTGTCCATTTTATTAGGTCCACTTACCATATAGATGTACTTCGTAGTTCTACAATTACAGACTGTAGTCCATCTATGTCTCTGCTTAATTTGTTAGCCCCTTTTACCCTTTTCTTTAATGGTCACAACCTCCAAGGGACCACCACAAAGAAGGTATTATTTGGGATGTGGATCATTCTCAGCACTGCAGTGACACTGGTATGGTAGTAGTATGTCAGTGTGTCTTGTGTTAGTACCAGCTGATCAGACACACCATTCCTGCTGGAGTTTTGAAACACTGTGTCCACTTACAGATAATGTTTGTTATATTACAATACTTAGCATATCACAAGTGTTTTTCACAAAAGTACTGTAGCACAGCTCAAGGATCACTATAAAATATTATATCTCCGAACCTCCGAATTCTTGTTTGTAAGAAGTAATATGGTGAGACAGACGCACACTCACTCACGCAGCCTCACCATAGATAGAGTGACATTGTGAGAAAAATGCAGCATCCTCGCACAGCAGCAGTAGGCAGCCATACACTGACCACAGCAGAACTTCATTATTACTGCTCAACCTCTCAAACAGAAATTCTAGAAGGCAGAGAGAGAGAGAGAGAGAGAGAAAGAAAGAGGACATTCTTTTTGGCATTTGTTAAATCATTAGCAAATTACATATTTCATTTCCATACGTTTAGACCACATTTACAACAGAACATACAATACAATGCAACTAAAACCCCTCCCAGTAAAAACAAAACTAGTTATGCACGATATCAGAATCATAACTGTATGATCGGATAATTGCCTAAAAAAATTATCACCATCAGACCAGTGTTTAGATTTGACCAATATTTCAGCTTGATATGTGATGATGTACTCTGATATATCAGAGCGTTTGAAATGCTGGTGTACTACAGTAAAATGCGTAATGTTACTGCATTCATAACTATAAAAATAAATGTTAGATGCAAGCTCATTAGTGGCAAGTGAAAATGTCCTTCAGACTGAGAAGCTTCTCTCAGGTGGCAATAAGCAAACCTTTGCAGAAGAGAGTGAAAATCTTCTTTGAGCAACCTTTTCTGGCAAAGAGCTAACCTTTGTAGAAGAGAATAAAAATCTCCTTTGAGGAACTTCCTCTTAGCTTCCAATGAGCTAACCTCTATAGAAGCATGTGAAAATCTACTCTGAGCAACTTTCTCTTAGCTGGCAGAGAGCTAAACTCTGTAGAAGCATGTGACAATCTTCTCTGAGGAACTTTTTCTTAGCTGGCAAAGAGCTAACCTAATGTAGAAGCAAGTGAAAATCTCCTTTAAGGAACTTTCTCTCAGCAAGTGCTCTAATAATTTGTCCTGAAGTATCTACTAATCGTGAAGTTCTACTGCATATGTGGATCTAATTAGGACAGCATAGTAACTTTGTGTTTTGAACATTTTATTGTATTTTTAATGTTACTTCGACCCTACTTTAAGTCTATTGTAGAGACTCAGCTTGATATCACTACTAATCAAGGTATCCTACTCATACTTTTAATGCTGGTAGCATTTTCTGATAGGGTGATTTAGTCTATTCAAATGTCCTACCTGTAGTTTTAATACAGGTAGCACTGTCTTATAAGGTGATTTAGGCTTTTAAAATGTCCTTCCTAGTTTTATTGCTGGTAGCCTTTTCTTCTACAGTGATTTAGGCTATCAAAATGTCCTACCTACGTAGTGAGCTGCCTATAAATATGCACTATGTTTGGGCAATTTTTCAGAACACAGACAATGAACCTCTGTAGAGACAGAAAATTTTCTTTGAGGATTTTTTTCTCACCACCAGTGCAACTGTGTGTGAGTGTTCAGTGCCACCCTTGCCACCGTCTGCGTAACCAGCTGAGAAAAGGACTGAGAGAAGAACGTACAGTATAGTATGTATTGGTACTAACCTGGTAAATCTGCCTGTATAAATGAAGCACAGTACTGGCTAGGAAAGTGTGTCAGTACAGCAGAAACACACCGAACACTCACCACCTGCACACACTCATCACCGCCTAGCAACATCTACAGTGTGAGAGAGGACAACAGAAAAAGCGAGAGAGAGAGAGAAATCAGCATCATGTCAGTCATTATTTTGCAAAGGGTCAAATACTCTCCACAAGATGGTTTTAGTATAGAACATGGATTCTAAATTCATCTGGCGGGCTGGATGAGAACAATCAATGGGCCGGTTCTGGCCCTCTGGCTGTATGTTTAACAGCCTTGTCCTATAGAATTCTTCAAGCCCTAATAATCAAGAGCAGATCTATGTGGGCCTTCTTAGAGACCTCAGAGTCTAAACAGTATTTTAGTATTATTTTAAACAACTATTAACATTTTTCTTATACATTCCTAAAGAAACCTATGCAAATTATTCTTTGGCTTAGTATGAAATGTAAAGCATTCAGTCACAAATGAATTCTTCTGATACAAATGAACTGACTATAAATGACTTTAAATATCCTGATCACACTTCTTAAAAATTAAAATGTGCAGAGAATGTGAAACGTGCATACAAATGCACATTGTATTCACTGTATTTTTAAAAATATTTCTGTGCAATGACGCTACTCCAGCCCCCACATGAGTTTGAGGCCACAACACTGATGCAGGATAGAAAATTTTTATGAGTAGCAAAAATGTCTGGTGAAACAACACTGAGCTATAAAGTTTTTTGTTTTAGTTTTAGTTTAGGCCACATTCAAATTAAACTAAGCTAAAACTATCTGCCAATCAAAATTACATAACAAAACAATACTGTAGGCCATGGCTGAGCATTTACCGTTATCATGATATATTACATGATATCATGGGCTACTCTGAAATGCCCTTGTGTGCATATCAAGGATATCGTTGATACTCATAAAACACTTCCCAACTGCTTGTTTGATTACAAAGAAAGCATAATTAGTTTAATTGGATATAGTACAGCGCAGGATGTGAAATGTTGACCACAAGTCATTTGTTTCATAGTTTTTGATAGCATTTTTAAAGAAGCACTACTTTCAGTTAATCAGATATTAGAAAAAATAAGTACTGTGACATATCATGTATCATGGAAATGTCTTTAAATATTGTGACATTACATTTTTGCCATAGTGTTTCATGACACATTTGTAATCACTTAGCACCCTAAAATCTAATTGAATCGTGAGATATATAAGAGATTTCCACCCCTAACCAGACTGGTGCAAATCTTACTTCAAAAATCCTACAGGGAGGCTACCAAAAATTAGCAAACCTGAAAAACCTGAAACTGTCTTTAAAACCTCTTCGAAAAAAAATAATCAGCTTCTTCTGGCTATTGCACACTTGCATATGTTCACAACAGGGGAGGGCTCTTCCTGTTTGCAGCTTTACCAGCAAGCCAATTCGCTCTTTTTATTGAAGAGTGTAATTTTCCACGTAAACAGACACCATGTTGAGCATTTTGAGCTTTTATATTTATTTAATATATTGTTACATACATTTTTTCTTCTGTTTTTAGATACACACCCGTTTCAAGATGAGTGGTAAGGAACAGTGTTGGTTAGACAGTTCAGTACACTGAGACTCCTCTTCTTCCTCAATGGGTGGATTCTTTTTCTGATTCATCAGCAAACACACTGTCTCTCCTCCACGCAGCATCAGCAACAACAGACCTACACAAATACATACACACACACGCACACACACACACACACACACACACACACACACACACTAATTAATGCACTCTCCCCTCCACACAAAAAGCAGTTAAGAGATAACAGTTAAACTTATCTGTGTTCATATATTTAGCCTCACTGACAATAACCCACTCAACGGCAGGTGTTACCACAGTTAAAGTTTGTTGTAAGACTCACTGTAGCACACAGCGTACGTCCTTGGTGCTCTGCCTCCCCTGAGTACTAACCTGCAGTTGCTCCCCTGCTCATTTCTGAGAGTATATAAACCTCCCTATCAGTGTCACAAGCCTTGCATCTTCCCATGTGCTTGTCCCATTGTCCTTCTGTTTTCTTGTTATGACAAAACCCCCAGGCATCCTGAATTCATGTTTTCTTCTTGGATAAAAGTTCATCCTCCTCTTGTGGCCACACAATCTGCACAAACTAATTACGTGAAGAGCTTTCCAATGTAAACTAAATGGCTGATGTGTTTTGCCAACATTCTCCTCTCTCAGTGTAAACTGAACAGTCCTAATCTTGTGTATTGCACACATGAGAAGTCTCCTCATCAATCACAAGGCTAATGTGGGTTTTCCTGAATCCACAGCTTTAATAAAAGTGCAGACCCCAACGGTCTCCCTTTCACTGTTCAAGTCTATATCAAGAGAAAGCTAACAAACAAAAGCTAACCTAGCAAGCACAAATGAGCTAGCAAGAACATACAGTCTTTCAGTCAGTCAGCGAGCCAAGTATTCCCTGGATGCACAGGAATAGAGTGAAAAGGAACCTTACCTTCTTTAAGTGCAATAGGGAGTGACGATAACTTGATACATTAACCCCTTAAATGGCCAGGGCCCAGCAGTAGGCCCAAAGTTTTATTACATGCTTCCACAACTTAAGAATAGCTCTAACAGTTTGCACTGAAGTCCCTGTAGGTACTGAATAATCAGCCTTAGTATGTAATAAACAAGGGATTTTAAGGAGTTAATACAGAATTCAGGTGTGGGGTGTCATATGAGTGTATACAAATATTTTACAACCACCTGAGTAAAGAGGGTGGGGAAGGTGTAGGGTTTATGCTATGGACATACCCAGCTTTAATGACTAGGCTTGTTCCTGAGGAGCTTGTAAATTCTAGGGTGGCACAACAAATGGTTCTGTTGGAGAACATTTATTTATTTGAGCCAAACAAATCTGTGTAGAACATCTCTGCAGATTCAGGAACCTCCGAACATGTATCAAAAACAGAATACTTACTTCAGAATGAAAAATTGTATCTATCCTGAAAATGCATTCATTATTATACCTCTAAAGACTCATATACAGGTGTATATTAGTGGAATGAGATTAAATCTTACCGAGACAGTTGATAGTGAGCTGTAATGAACAGGTGTGAGTGAGTGTGTGTAACAGTAACACACACACTCTCTCCCTCAGTGTGTGTGGTAGAGACTGAAGTGCTGCCTCAGACGCCCAAACACCACGGAACACGTAACACACTGCAGACTTCAGTGCTTCATCAGGATTGAGCATGCACGCACACATACACTCCAACACACACACTGAAAGAGAGAAAAAGAGAGGGAGAAAAAGAGAGAGAAAGACAGAGGAAAGTCAAATCAACACATGGCAAAAATGCAATGAAAAAAATACATATAGAATGTGTGTAATACACGCACACTGGACACTCCAAGCAATTCATTTCACATTCAAAAATATATTCTATGAATGGTAACTGCAGTAAAATCAATGAGGTAAAGCCAGATACCTGTTTTTAAACAGCTTTTACATACAATCTTAATTATAATTATGTTGCACAATTTGCCCTTCTGGGCATATAAAGGATACTGTCATTACTTAAAGAGACCTAACCATCTCTAAATATAATTAAAAAAAAAAAAGAACACAATTAGTTCTGTTGGATTTAGTGAAGCACTACACGTAAAATCCTAAAAATCATTGTGACAGTTTTTGATAGCTGTCTTTGAATGTGGCACTACTAGTGAACTGTGTTTGTGTGTCAAAATATCATGATACATATTGAGTATCATGAAAATGCACAGTTTGGTGAATTTCCTGGCAACTAACTGCTGAGTAAAAGTGCATCTGAGTAAGAAAATCAACAAACTTTTCTGGACTGGAGTTTGACACTCCTCCTTTGATTGAAAATACTAGGGATGTGCACGCTAACATTTGAGAATCTTTAACTCAGTTACTCAATTAATTCAGTTAATTCATATATCAAACTACCAAAATGTGTAATATAAAACATACACTCAAAAACAGAGGCAAAACTTTCACAGTTTGTTACACATTGTTCACACATTGTTAGCCAGTATATTTTCACCTGTTATGAAGCACAACGAATACTGGACTAACGATTTCAGCAAGAATTGAATGCTTATTCATAGCCTAATGCGAGTGATCCTCTCTCTCTGCCCAATCATCTACAAAATGACAACAAAATAATTAGCAATTATGTAAAAGACTGATATTAAGTGTGAGATGCTACCTGCTTCTGAGATCTGACTTTATAAGTAATGTAGTCTATACCTGGCTTTAGATAATGGTTTGCTGACAAATCAAGTTTGCCCAGTTCCCCACTTGCTGTCAATCAGCACTGCAGCTATGAGGCTAATATAACGGCTGCCACTGAAAAAGATTTTGCAAGACATAGACTTCCAGTACTTAATAGCTGCATTAACCTCAGAGATCCAGCATAAACCTAAACACCTAACATGTCTTGGCTGACTGACTACATTTGGGGTAAAATGGGAACTGGGTAAACAGGATTTTTTGCTGAACCATTCCTTTAAGCATGTACTAAAAACAGCTGTCCTGGAGAACAGATTACAAAATATTTTGACCAAAAAAACTATTGTAGGCACTATGGACTATGAACACTGTGAATACAGTCACCTGGGGAATATTTTACTCTTACTTTCCAGTGCAGACCTGTGTGTGTGTGTGTGTGTGTGTGTGTGTGTGTGTGTCTTACAGTGGGTCGTGGTCAGCATTTGGGCCAGAAAAGACACAGCGTCCACCAGCTTCCCCAGAAATGTGAGGTGTGGGAAAAACTTTCCACCAGCTCCCTTACACAGCTGAGAGAGAAAAAAAATTACATTAATATGAGATAAAATAAGGTAAGATTGCTCTTTATTGGTCCTTGGTTGAAAACAAATGTTACAACAGTAAAAATATATTATACACGCTACGTAAGTAAGAAACCACTAAAACAAATATTATTCTTCCTATAGTTCTTACTGTGTTGAAGTGAACAACTGAAAAAAAGAAAGACAAAGAAAAAACCAAGTGTTGGGAGAAAATGTAACTTTTAAGGTGAGTCTTAAAGTGAGAGAGGGTGAACAGTCATGGGGGCCCATGGGGGATGGCATTCCAAAGTCTGGGAGTCAAGCATTAAAATAACACCTTTCTATGCCCTATTAGTCTTAGGATCCACCAGTCCCGTCTTATTTCACTGACAGTGTGTGTGTATCTTACCTGTGTTTGGAGCTCATCCAGAACATACTGCACAAAATGTTCCTCCTTCAGATCCAGCAACAACTGAACCAGCACTGAAACACACACACACAATCCCCTTCGCATATGTTTCATTTACACTACTTTGAAATGACTAGTGAGGCATGGCATATATCAAATTACACTTTCTAGAGAGAAAGAGAGGGAAGAACAGAAAAAGAGAAATAGAGTGAAACAGATAGCAGAGCAGGACATTAAGGGGACATGTTAGTGTTATCATGATAAATCAATTCACAGTATAGTTTTCTCAGCATATTGTGGATATCATAAGTGTATGAGCACTGACCAGAACACTGAATCAAAAACATTGATCAACTGCATTTTTCCTCACAAAGAATGAATAATCAGTCCTGTTTAACCAGATTTAGTGCAGTGGAGTTCATAATTCGATTACTGATACTTTTCTGCCTACTTCAGCTGGTCAAATCTCAGAAAAAAAAAACAAACTAAAATGTGATAAGAGACAATAAAAGAAATAATAAAACAAAAAAAGAGAGAGAGAGAGAGAGAGCAAGAGAGAGACAGAGAGAGAAAAAATAGAAAGATGGGAACAGATAGAGATTTGCCCTATGACCTTGAATGATCTGCTCAAGCACAGCTAGATCTTCAACAGATTTCAGCATCTCTACAGCGGAGGGAAAGTGGCAGATATTAGGGCAACAAATAGTCTGTAACATGCATCACATGTTGATTGACTCAGCCCTACATTAAGACCTCTCTTCCGTTCTATTGTGTTTGTCATGAAATATTTACTGTAACATATATTACAGAAGACATGAATCCATAAACCACCCCAATAGACAGTCCAATACACTACTACAGTAAATATTAATCCATAGACCACCTCAGTAAACAGTGCTTTGTGTGTGTGTCTTACTCATTAGAGAGCAGATGAAATGCAGACACACTCTCTCGTCCTGTTGGAAGACGTCCCTCACCAGACCTGCAATCTTCAGCAACTCTAAAACATCAGCTAGTGCAGCAGACTTACGCACAATCTACAGGGACATAAGGGCAACTAATAATAAACACAGGATCCACTAAACACATAGCCTAAAACTGTGCTCCCCAAACAATGCAGCAATAACAGCAACAAACAGACAAATGATGAATGGGGTAGAGGGGGCTGATAAACTTCGCCAGGTATAGTTTGTCATTGCACACCTACAAAATGGATATAGACGGTAGGTGGAGCTCATTAAGTAGTCAGTGAGTAGATGTACATAAGTTTATAATAAAGTGGTCAGAGACATTAAGTTCGACGTCAGAGTTTCTAATAAAGTGACCAGTAAGTGGAAGTAACTTCTATTAAGTACTAATTCCACTAATCCTATAAATAATTACACTAGCTAGCTAGTTAACCTAACCTAGCTAAGCTAGGTTAGCTAGGTTAAGTAGTTCAGTTCACCCGCGTTGATTGTTTATTGCTCTATTAAAGCGGATGGTGAGTGTTTGTAAGCGTTATTATCACTCATACTAATAATTCTAAGAGCTCCACTCATGATTCTTCACACACTCTCCGCCTATAAGCCTTTTAAAAATAATAAACTGTTCAGTTTTTGAATATTTTACCGACACGTCCTCTCTGTCCATCAGCTCCAGCACACAGGCCACACACACTCCCCGCGCGCTCCAGCGGGGGTCGTGCCGCAGGTGAATCTTCTCCAGAATAACGTCCAAATTCGACATATTTGTACTGTATTACAGTAATTTTTATGCGTGTTTCCTGAGAATTTACCTCAGGGTGTCAAAGCCCTGCAGACAAAGCAGAGTTTTTAGAGTAAATAAGAATTTTTTGGACGGCTAACTGGCTAACAGGCTAACGGGGCTCAGAAGGAAACGTTAACGTTAGCTGAGCGTTAGCGCCACGGTAGCAGGTGGAAACGATTAAAACGCTTAAAAAAAACGCAGTAATATCAAACAGAAGTAAATTTTGTTTAGCAGTCTGTATATTAGATGACAGCCCGGTCAAAATCTGCTGTTTGTGGTAAATATTTAATAGAACCACGAATTTCTCCTCACAACTGTTGCTGTGGAAGCTTAAGGGGAAAGTGACAGTTAGTGTGAGACCCCAGCCAATCAGAGCAAGCTACGAAAAATACATAAAATAATACAAAACGACATACAACAGCAAAATTAAAAAAAATTAAAGTTTAAATAGATTGTTGGGAAAGAGCGTAATATACACAATGTTCTCAAAACTGTAAACACCACTGTTTAAAAAAGAAAAAATAATGCAACAAATGTCTCTGTTTTCATTCCCGTTTCTTTTCTAGCTTTGAGTCTGTATGTGACTAACATTAGATCCACCAGCAAAATCTGGATCAGACCATCTGGTAAGTAAATAAATGTAAATTTGTGCACACCTTATTTCACACACACCAAATCAACAACATTTATTAACCATGGACCTCTATACACATAACAACGTTTGTGCAGGTTTAATTCCAAAACTTTATTTGTTATATCCCAACTCCTTAAGCTGAAACCTCAAATGAAAATCATTGTTTTAAGCACATTATGTGAAGTACTTCCCATCCATAGTTCTCTCGCTCACGTGTCTAGATACATGTCTCATTGCTTTCTTACAAAATGCTAATGATATTTTAGATACCCCATTATAACGAAAGCTGTCCTCAGTTGGCTTAGAAATGTATTGAATAATCCTTGGAGAATGGATGATGTTGCTATTCTGTTGAAATGCATTTCTCTTACATGCATTTATCAAATATGCACATTGTGTCAGTCCTTACATGCAAAATAGACCAACAGTCATAAACTGTCAGAAGTATATATTACATAAACTGCAGTGATCTGGTAATGCAGTAATGTCTGCACCACACTCTGAAAAAATGCTGGGTTATTTTTTCTGCCCAAGTGCTGGGTTCAGGCAGTTGAGTAGTTTTGCTGGGCCATTTCAACTCTCCGGTTAATGGTGTGAGTTATTTTTTTTTTACCCTACTGTTGGGTTACCGCTCCCGTCGCCAGTAGACTGGTTTCCAAATGGACAGAAGTTTGATATTCTAACGACAGAGGGCAACAGACAAACGAGAGCAAGCGGTAAGTTAGTTACCCAGCTAACAAAGATACAGAAGTTAAATATCATGGAAAGCATATATGGAAACTTAGGCTTATGTCCTCATTTCCAACTGCTTAGCTAACTTTGAAGGATAGGACCGTCCTCTTTGGAACTTGACACTAGGAATTGTATATTATTATTGCAGTTCAAGGCTGTTGATGTCTGTTTCAAATGTTTTATTGTTTTGATGTGCTGATTCATTCAATTCAAGTAATTGTTAAATTATAAATAATACAATCGTATGTCTGAAAGAATCATGGATTAAATTACTTAAACCAACCAGTTGGGTGAAAGTGACCCAGCATGTGTTCTGTCCAATATTTTACCCAGCACTGGGATGCCAAATAACCCAGGCTGGGTTGTTTTCAGCCCTGCATATTTTAGAGAGTAGTCATAAACAGGGCACTGGTAGAAATTCTGACCTGCTGAAATATAATTCATGGACCCCTTAACTCACCTCATTTACCTTAGCAGAATCTGTCATAACATTAAAGCGTGTCAAATATAGTTCATAATAATCCTGTTTTATTATCTCCATAATTCTAACTCTTACTTTCTCCATGCTGTCGTTCTGTTGCTGTTAATATGAATATATATGACTGCGTTTCAATAAACTGTAGCTGTCTGAAAGTGTTACTGCTTCTCAAAAGTGTTGCATCCTGACAGTTGAAGCTGTTTTTCACTAGTATAGGACATAAACATTATTCACAGTCACTAAAATCTCCTTAAACTTGTTTTTCCAGCTGTGGATCATGAAATTCAACTATTGAGATATTCTGGTTTTAATCCTTTATCCAGGCTGAAAGATAGAAGAAGAGGATACATAGAGACCACCAGACCACGTTCTACTTCACCCACACTTACAGCTTACACTTGAACATGACAACACAGAAAATAGAGAAATGAATAAATGAATGAATGAATGAATGGATAGATGGATGGATGGATGGATGGATGATAAACATACGGTAGGCCTATATCTGTCCAGGGACACGGGAAGGTGTTTTAACTTGATATTTTAAGCAGCATGTATGTGA